TTCTTTGTCAATGCCCAAGTGGGTAACATTTTTCGTCAGATCAATACTGTGATGCTTAACTYAATTTTAAGCATCAGGTAAAACATATATATTATAAAACTTCACAGATAAGGCTTGCGGTGGTCGAAGAAATGATGCCATGATTATAAGTTGTTAAAAACACATTTAAATATCAGTCAAATCAAAGCAAAAAACATTAGCTTTTTTCCGATTTTTTCCACAAAATTTCGGTTTTTTTAAAAGTATCTTTTCACTAAAAACAGCTTTTTTTGTTCAACAAAAATTGGCAACACTGATTCATATACTTCATGGGGCTTATCACGCCTACATTTCAACAAATTTTTTATATCGAAATTCCCCGTTTTCAATAGTAATTCTTTGCAGTGCTTAGGGTAGAGTCTAACAGTCGTGGCTAGAGAATTGCTGTTATAAAGTGTTCTTAATGCCATGTAGTGTTTCAGTAATATGACAAGATATATTTATAAATCAGTATATTGTATACAATTTATTTTTTCTACTGATGATGGGTTTCATACAAACATACAGACAATCTACTATGGTCAATAAGACAGATTTTATGAAATAAATTTAAATTTTCACATACATATGTATATTAAATTAAATTATTATAGGACTTCAGATCTTTTTATTTTTGTTTGTTTTGTTTTGTGCAACACTTTTATAAAATGTAAAATTCAATTACATTTTGATTCTTCTTATTGCGAACATTCACAATTAATTCTAATTTGCTAGATAAATAAATGGTAGATCATTAAGAGATCACTGATTTGCTCAAAGTTTTTTTTTGTTGTTTTTCCCTGGTAGCTTTTAATACCATAATTAATTTATCCTTTTTAGTTTCTTCGCAAAAACTGATGTGGCACGTAAAAAATAATGCGTTAGTCGTTGGTTGGTTTCTGATACGAGGACATATGTTTACTAATGTTCTTTTCAATCGCATTCCGGCTCCTAAATGGATAAGATCAACCAATCATAGATAGATCAAACAAAATAATACCAACTGACTGCAAAAGCCACCTTGAGTGTCACTTTAAATCTTTGCAAACAACGCTTGAACTTTGTTAAATACTTTATAATGTGGCTGATGAAATTATAACATTTTCCTTCAAATGATCAAACTGTGTGACCCTGGGATCAATTTATAATTTTCTCTAATGTCCATTGTGCATGTTGTTGTCACAAACCTCCAGCAACATTAAACGGCAAACACATACATATTTGGCTGTAATGTGCAAATTTATTCGAAATGGAGCTATGGAAACTTATTAGAGCACACACAGAAAATACAATTTTGAGTTTATTGCTTTAGCGTGGCCACAACAAGCAATACTTTTCGAAACAAGCATGTATTTTAAATTATAATTATTAAGATATAATAGTCAAATAATTAGACTGGTATACCAGTGCGATCCTTAAGTTTGCCAAGAACATTCACGTGCACTTTTGAAAAACCGCTGGGTTTTGCACCTTGCATTTCGACATTGTCAATAGGCAACTGGCCTGCAGTAGACACACCATCGAAAGATGCAGAGGACATTGGTGACGAGTGCTTTGAGTCATCCATATGAAAAGATTGCTGAGTACTGGTGTCAAGTGAGGGCACCAGATCATCGCTGTTCGGCCTTATTTGAGTAGATGAAGGAGCGTAGGCAGACTGCAACTTATCGATCTCATCATCAATAGCTTTAAATTGCCAACTCCAATTTGCACGATAAAGGAATGGCCGATGATCGAATCGATTGTCATCGGGACTATAGATTTCCGCATGTACTGAAGGTGTCAGTACAGTCATTTTATGTCGGTTAATTGCGTAGCAGCGAAAGAAATGTTTCACTTTTTCAGCTACTTCTTTAGGTGTTAAATCGCTTTTCCATGTAGACACAAGCCTACAGAACATGCTGTAGGGACCGCAAAAATATTGTTTGCGCAGGCGACCATATTCGCTCAATTCGGAATAGCTCATTCCCATATCTTCTTCATCTGTTTGCAACAGCTGCCCATTCTCCAGCAATGGCTCCAACTCGGCTGTGGGCGGAGCGTCGATTATAGATTCTAGTGCAGTAAGATTGTATCTTAAATAAATCAATTAAATGTGTTTGTTATTATTATTAATAATATTTTAATAATTTGAAGTTAATTACTTTAAATAAATTTGCTTACTTTTTTTTTGCATAAGACAAAAATCTTAGTAGATCTGTCTTGGATATCCCACCAATAGGATTAATATCCGCTGAGGAACAATCATATTTCGTTAGATAGCCACGCAACGATTCATCAACATTAGATGAGCCTAGAACAAGCAAGCCACCCGGTCTGTTGCGAACCCAAAGCATTAATTGAGCAAATATATAAGCCAATACCATGCGTATACGGGACTGAATATTTTGTAAAGCCAGATTTTGCCGAGCGCAACCGCCTTGCGTGCGAAAAACTGGTGTCAGTCCCGTTACTGCATTAAAAATCCCCAGCAGTGCATTTACTGCCAAATCGATGCTAATCTCAATATGATAGCTGCCAATTTGGTTTGCCAGCTGAGCAGCACGGCGTCGCGTTTCCTTGCTACTGTTGACGCTTCCCATGTAGCAGGTGACTAAAAGTCGATTACATAGCGCTGCTGCATTAATGGGGGTATAATCAGAATCAGCAAGTATTTTGCGTATATCATACAGCACTTGCGCATCGCCATGTTGAACTGCCTGTACTATTTGCCGGCACATGGAATAAACTATTGTTGCAGAGCTACTGGAATCAACACCTCCACTGAGTGGTAAAAAAAAGCCACCCTGACCGGAACGTCGTAGATAATCCCAAAGCCAACATGCTGGCCCCAATTCGATTTCTTCCTCTGGCGATGAATACGTAAAATGCAGTGTTGGCGTTGCAGCCTTAAATATGTCGTTATGTGTAGACATCTCAAAGTCGCAGCGTATTCGAGGATAGTCTACTGCTCCGGCCGCTGACGAACATCGTGACCGGAGACTAACTCGGTAGGCACGAATTTCCTCCAGATCAATGGTGGCCAAAGTTACTTCAACATCTTGTAGTGCAAATTGCCTTCCCCGCGCCAAAACTTCACCATTAAGTGCTATGGCAGAGCAACCATTAAAATAAACTCTTTGGCCATCACAGCCTCGTAAATTACTGAAAAGATAGGCACCTCCTGCCTTAAAGCTTGCGTTGCAAATGAGATCGTTTGTTATGTGTGCTTTACGAAGCTCCATATAGCTTCCAGAGCCGTTAACAATTATCTCAACACCCGAAAGTGACATCTCTATATGTTTGCTGCGAACATTCCATAGCTCCTCACATATCTCATAACCGATACATGTATCGGGGGTTGCAATTATCGCATCACCAAAAGGCACCGTTTCTTGACCAGTGTGTTCTTTAATAAGGTGGGGCAGCAAGTATTCTTCCGTTTTCTGCGCTTTGGTCCAGGCAGTAAACCAGCGGGACTCACGATAGTTGCCATCGTCGCACATTGCCATCTTAGGACGGATTAACAACAGTTTCCGATTAAAGAATGCTATGCGGCAATTGTAAGCAACATTCTGATGCATCACTGGCATGCCCACATCCACAAGCATATTTGCGCTGTAAGTCAAACAATAAAATCAATAATAGCCGCATAGAAATTAGAAATTGGAATTGTTGACGCTAACCAAAAAGGGGACATCATGATTTCTAAGAATGTCTCCCAAGAGTGGAGAAAAGTATCTGGTTCGCGAAAATGATCTTCGCAGCTGTAGCCACTGTCAAAAGTTAATAAAATATTGTAAGTAATACCAAAAGCTCTTTTCTATGTACCTACCATACCTCCAGTTCTGGACCAGTTCGATAACTGGCGCCCATATCCTTAGCCTCCAGTATGGACTGCAAAATTCTGGCCATGTTACCCTCAAAGTCTAGAGCCCATTGGTTGAGCGTAGTTACCGCCACAGTTATTTTGCGTCCCATTTTTTTTCAAGAATTGTTAAAATAATAACTAAATTCTGAAAGTCAAGACAGATGTAATAATTTCTTTACTGATATTCAAATTAAATTCACAGAGTTATCAAACCTATTTGGTATTGCTATTTGTGTTGCCATTGGTTCTGTTCAAGTTATTGATTAAACAATGTGATGGTGGCACATAACTAAGGTGTCACGTTGACAATGCCCAAAAATTGTAATATATGTCATTTACATTACACGAATGCGGCGAAGTCAGAAACAGATTATACGGCGTTTCAACTGACGACTCTATAGTACTTTTTATATAATTTATTATCATTCGTATCCATGGGGATGCGTACACTTATTCTTACCAACATGCACAAATGACTATACATAAAATATCCAGTAACTACATAAAACACGAGTAATACATGAAATATATAATGTACATACATATGTACATAATCTTAAATTCTTACTTCCAATATGACGCGTAGAGCTAATTTGTTTTAAGTAATCAATAACGTGCTTTCTGCCGATGGTCTTGACAAAACCATTTAATCTTTGTTTGAAGATAGATACCATATTTCACTTTGTTAATTCTTTTTTA